GCCTATGATTAATAGCAGAATGGATAGCCAGTACCAGAGACATCTCAACTGGTTCCAGTTAAACAATTCTGAGTGAAAAATTAAAATGTAGCAAACTTTCTGTTCAATGGATACCAAAACTGTTGCATCCAAAACTGCTGCAGGAAACAGCAGAGTTTTCTATAGAACTTTTAATCATGTGGGATTAAAATTCTGACGCATTTCTTGAAAGAATTGTATTAGGATATGAAATATGGCTTTACTAATATAATCCTGAAGACAAACTACAATCAAAGCATTGGCTTTCAAGAGATAGAAGTGGTACAGTCAAAGAAAAAGAGGACTAATCAAAAACAAAGCTCTGGCAACAAGGTATTTTACTCATTGACTGTCTGGAGGGCTAAAGAACAATAATATCTGCTTACTATGAGAGTGTTTTGAGAAAGTTATCCAAAGCTACATAACAGAAAAACACCCAGAAAAACTTCACCAGAGAGATCTTCTCCACCATGACAATACTGCTGGTCCCTCTCATCAAACAAAGGCAATTTTGTGAGCGTTTCAGTGGGAAGTCATTAGGCATCCATCTAATGATTTAGCTTCTTCTGACTGCTTTGTGTATCCTAATCTTAAAAAGTCTCCAAAGGGCAACCATTTTTCTTCAATTAGTAATGTGAAAAAGACTGTATTGACGATTAAATTCTCCAGACCCTCAGTTCTTTAGGGATTGACTAAATGGCTGGAATCACTGCTTACAAAAGTATCTTGACCTTGATGGAGCTTATAAATAATGTTTACATTTTTAATTTTTATCTTTTAATTAAATTGTTCCATGAATTTTTTGATGTTATCTCATATATAATAATAATACAGTATACTAAGTACACTAAGTAGCAGGCACAATTCTAGCAAATATAAAATCATGCTAATTTTCTAATAGCCCTATATATTAAGTTCCCATTGTTGCCATGATAAAACAACACATTGAATGGATTAGGATAACAAGAATTTATTGTCTCAGTCTGGAGGCTAGAAATTCAGTATCAGGGTATTTAGCAAGGTCATGCTCTCTCTGAAAGCTCTAGGGGAAGATCCCCCACTTCTTGTTTCTTTTCAGCTTTTCTTGGTTCCTTGGCATTCCTTGGCTTGTAGATGCATCACTGCCATTTCTGCTTTCATCTTCAAATTGTCTTTTTCCCTCTGTGTCTCTGTCTTTGTGTCTCCTCTTTTCTTCTTATATGGGAACAAGTCATATAGAATTTGGATCTACCCTCCTTGCATATGACCTCAAATTAACTCATAATATATGGAAAAGTTCTATTTCAATATAGTCACACATTCACAAGTACCAGATGTTATGGACTTCAGTATATTGTTGAAGGGAAAGAATTCAGTATGTAACATCCTGTAAAGGAGATACTGCTATCAACCTTGTTATATGGTCCAAGGAACTGAAGTCACCCAGTTTCAAAGCTAACAAGTAGTAAACTGAAGATGGGATTTTAAACATAGTGTCTGCGCTTCAGTGCACTGGACATCAAAGTTGGTTTGAACTGCAAGGTTGGTAATTCAAATTCATCAGCCGTTCCTTGAAATCCCTATACAGGATCACTATGAGTTGGAACTGATTCGAAGGCACTTAACAACAACACACTAAGTTATAAACATGGGTTGTTTAATGTAACCCCAACTCCATAGTGCTTTCCGTTTAGTGGGTGATATAAATATTAAGCAAATAATGTTAATGAGTATTAAGAAAAGAGACATTTGGGGTACTATAAGAATAAACCAAGGGGAGCTTGTTTCCAAAAAGTTGTTCCTCTCCCCTTCTCTATTTCCTCTCTGTTACAAATTCTCTATTTCATGTTTCTTCAAATTGATTTAACCAAGTATGGAATAAGTGGTCATCCTGTGCTGGATCCTAGCTGTCCTCAGCAAGATGTAGCTGAGTACTTGTAAATTCTTCATAAGAAATATCATCTCTGATCCACAGTGAAGAGCAAAGTTGTAAAAAAAATCCCTCGTAATCACATGTCAATTTCCAAGCAGCTGCTTCTAGGTATCAAAAAACTGTGTGTTAGTATTTTCTATTTCTTGCTGCTTTTACATATTACAGTGTTTCTACTGTAAATGATTTTATTGTGAATACTCAAAAAGGCAATGTGAAGGAAAACTAAATAACTTTCAAATTATTAAAACCTACTTGTCAGAACTGATGGCTAGAGAGCAGTCTACTTTCCTCATTGCTGGTCTCATATGCTTAATTAACACTTGCTTGCAATCAACAAGATTATACTGGAGGCTGCTTCCTGCTTGCACTCTCCACCACAGCTCTCTGACCCTACTTGTTTTCAAGCTCACAGGACAGATCTTTTCTGAAATGTCTCTTTTTCCCTTATGAGAATGAAACTCGTGGTATTAGCTATCTCCCCCACTGCTTTTCTTTGCAGGTTCCTTTTTCTTTCTTTTTTTTTATTCCCAGTGCTCTCTCTGGAATGAAAGCTGTTTTTGTGTGTGGGGGTTTTTTTTGTTTTTTTTTTTCTATTTTGCAAAGGCTTCCTCTCACACTGGAAAAATTGGAGTTTGGTACTCAGTAAAATGGAAGCCCTCTGACAGTAAAATGATTAGAAAATGCTTTGTTCAGCATTCTAATCCCTGCCCCACTGTGAGCCAGGATTACTCCCAGAGCACGTTCAAGAGCACAGCAGGAAAGGGAAAGGACACAGAGTCCAGAGTAAGATGGGTTTAATTTCAAATTCTAACTTCATCCCTTTCTTGCTGTGTGACCTTGTGCAAGGGGGCTGAGCCCTCAAAGCCTCAGTTTCCTCATCTATAAGGTAGAGATAATGATGTCTAGTTTGCAGAGTTGTTTTAAGATTTGGTGAATACAGACAGTAGGTACAGTGAAACCTCAAACATATCTTTTCCTTTTCTTTTTTTTTCTGAGGAGAAGGTGCAGTGGTAGGAAGGTGGTGTCAAGGATGAGGTCCCTGTGTGGCACAAACAGTATGTGCTTGACTATTAACCCAAAGTTAGTGATTGGAATCTTCCTGGACAACAGTATCTGGCAATCCACTTTCATAATGATCACCGCTGGTTCTACTTTGTGACACATAGGGTTTCCACAAGTTGGAAATGACTTCAGGTTTACGTGGATGTTTTATTTTGGTTTGGTTTAGTGTCAAGAGCATGTTATAGGACTTAAGTAAAGGAAGTAAGACAGAAGATAACATAATTTTGAACCCTGCAGGGGTTGAGATTTGTGAGTTCATGAAGAACACAATCACAATGAACTCAGTAGGGAATGCAGTGAGTATTCACACTGAACAGCACACATGAAGTCTGGAATCACTCAGACCACAGGAAAATCCATTCTCTGCCATTGTCTCTCTAGCAGGAGAAAGAAGTCCTGCTAATCTGAACTCAGCTCATTTTCTTCCACAAAGACTATACAAGTATTGGAGTCCTGGTATAGCCCTATAGATAAGCGCTGGACTGTTAACAGAATGTTTGGAGTTTCAAACCCATCAGTTGCTTCTTGAAAACTCTATATAGGGTTGCTTCTTGAAAACCCTATATATGAATTGGAACTGGTTTGAAGGCGCTTAACAACATGCAAGTATTAGGAGCCCTGGTGGTACTGTAGGATAAGCACTAAACTACTAAACTACTAAACTCAAGGTCAAAAATTCAAACCCACCAGCAGATCCATGGGAAAAAGAGGATCTTTATGCTCCCATAAAGTTTTGTTGTTGTTAGTTGCCATCAAGTTGATGTCGATTCATAGTGACCCTTTGCACAACAGAATGAAACACTGCTCAATCCTGGGCCAACCTCACGATTGTTGCCACACTTGAGCCCATCAATACTGCCATATTGCCAATCCACCTCGTTGGGGGTCTTCCTCTTTTTCTCTGACCCTCCACCTTACCAAATATGATGTCTTTCTCCAGTGACTGGTCCCTCCTGACAATATGTCCAAAG